ATCTCTATGATAATAATCTTATTTATAAACATTATTTATGAATTATAATATTTTATTTAAAATAACCTTAACAATAATAATTTTTATTGTCTTATTTTACAATTTAATTCTCTAATTTATTTTTTAATAAACTTTAAAAATACAATAAGTAATCTATTAGATAATGAATCAAATAAGTAAAATAATATAAATGATTTATTGTATATATCAGCTCTCTTTTTATTCTTATAATCATTTAAATAATTTATTTTGGTTATTTTTAACAAATGAAAATTTATTGCTCTAAATTAAAATATTTTAATATAATTATACTTTTTAAACAATGAACACTGCCTTTGTCATCTAAAAACGCTTCCCTCTTTAGTTTAAAAAGATTTTATACCAATATTAATATTTTTGGAGGGAATCAAGTTATTTTTTGGAGGGAAAAAATTTAAATTTGGAGGGAAAATGCTGTAATTTTTCACCTCTAAAATACTTTTAAATGTATCATTTTAATTAGTTTAAAGTATCATTATGACTGTTTTAATGGTTTTAAAGCTTATTAAATTACTTGTTTATATTTTAAATTATATATTTTTTAATTTAAGTGTTAACAAACAAAAAAAGTATAATTTTGTTTGTAAAAACTCACAAAAATTAGTATTTAAGCGAAAAAGTAATGGAACCCATGTTTTTCAATATGATAACAATAGCTTCAATGATTACACATGTACTAAGTTTCAGAGGATTTTATGGTAATAAGCAAGCTAAACATAGAAAAGTTCTTGATATGAATGATTCTTCTATGAAAGAGACTATGGTATACAAAGATTCTAATGGTGCTATACATATTGCAGAGAGGGAAGGTCCAAATTGTGCATGGGGTGAGTTTAAGGTGGTTACTGGCAGACCTACACATAAAATAATGAGATTAATATCATCTTATGGTGATGGTAATATGCTTTTAAAGAAAGAGTATGATGAACCTGGTAAGACTATTGCAAAAAATTCACACAGGCATAGAAAGCAACCACGTATGCATAGAAATGACTACTGAGGAAACTTTAACAGTTCTTGATCCTCCTATTACTGTAGCCAATCCAAACATGAATTTTGACAGAAGTTATTATACTAAATCTAAGAATTCATACAAAAATGATAGAAAGCCTTACTACAATACATCACATGA